AAGTCATATATATATATATATATATAGTAGAGTTAGGCTCAACTTAGACTTACAGCATGGAGCGAATCATCGATCGCTCTTCGTTACTGTAGGATTACGGTATGAACTTTCAACATGTGGATCCATTGTGAAATATGCCATTCGACAAAATTTTTTCCAAAAAATCTGAAAAATCGTGCATTAGGGTTTTTGCGCACGCTGATTCTACTGCACAACTTTTTTCGAGTGTTCTTAGCTTTTTTGACGGTATAATCATATTTCTGACAAATGCTGAGATTCGGTTATTACGGTTTACACGGGATAACCTTGGAAAGAAGCATCGCAGTAAAGTGGAAACTTCATAATCGAAATCAGCGGCTGCCATTACCATAGTATAAGTGTTTTTGGCTTGTTTGGTTTTGTTCCGAGGCAGAATATGGCCTCCAATAAGCTAAAATCCTTGTCGAAGTTCCTATAACAGTAATCCTACAGTAATGAAGATTGATCGACGATTCGCGCCATATTGCAAATCTAAGTTGATCCTCGCTCTAAAGAATGGTGCCTCAAGCTCGGCGAAAGGCATGAAAGCAAGGGAGTTATTAACAATCAAACAGTGTTCACATTTTTTTTGGGACACCCTGTATATATATCCCAAAAAGATGTGCACACTGTTTGATCGTTAATAACTCTCTTGCTTTCATGTCTTTTGCCGAGCTTGAGGTACCATTCTGTAGAGCGAGGATAAACTTAGATTTACAGTATGGAGCTAATCACCAATCACTTTTCATTACTGTAGGATCACGGTATAAACTTTCAGCATGCAGCGTCACTGTGGAATAAATAAGCCTTTTGATGAAATAAGTTCAAAAAATCTATAAATTTGATATAGCAAGTTTCAGGCGTGCTGATTTCACTACATAACTTCCCACCAGTTTTTCGAACTTTCTTGATGGCGTATTCACGTTCCTGACGAACATTGGAAAATCAGTTGTCACCCTAAATCTGATATAACTCATGAAAGAAACAGTGTACTGATGTGCAATTTTCAGAATCAGCAACTTTGATTAACCCAGTTCAAGAGTTTCTGGCTTGTTTGGCTTTTTTTCTGAGGCAAAATACCGCTTTCAATGGCTCAAAATCGTTCTCGAAATTCCTACCGTAATCCTACAGTAATAAAGAGCGGCTAATAGGTCGCCATACTACGAATCTAGCAAGGGAACCGTGCCGAGTCGAAGTGGCCTTTTCAGATGAGACCCATACTGCTCTAAAAAGCATTTATCGGTGATTCCAAATCTGCTTTCCAAATCTGCCAAGCGCCTCTGGACGCCGAGTTATGCTCGTTTTTCAGGTCAAAAAATTGAACGCAAAACTGAAGCAAAATCGCCCAAATTTGCTCAAATGGTCCAGTGTCAAGTATCATAGCTGTTTATCCAATGGATACATTATATTCAATATGCTAGTACTCAACATTGCTTTATCTGAGCGCTGGAAAGATTGTAACAATCAATTTTACCTAAATTCTGCACTCATTTTTCGTTCCGAAGAACGGTCATAACTCGGCGTCCAGAGGCGCTTGGCAGATTTGGAAGGCAGATTTGGAATCACCGCTTAATACCCTTCAAAGCGGTATGGGTCTCATCTGGAAAGGCCACTTCGACTCGACACGGTTCCCTTGTAAGTTGGACCTCGCTCTAAAGAATGGTACCTTAAGCTCGGCAAAAGACACGAAAGCAAGAGAATTATTACAATCAAACAGTGTGCACATCTTTTTGGGACACCCTGTATATATTACCCTAATTTCACGCGTACAAGGCGCGGGGGATTTTTTTCGAAAATCGACCAACCCAAACACGTCAAAGGACTTCGCGAACAAAAAACTATATACAGCGCTGTATATTGCCTGAGAGTATCGTACGGCATAAGTCTCGTTTTCCGAAACACAACGAGGCGGCTGAGCGGCACCTTTGAAAAATCGAAAAAGGTGCGCCTTGTACGCGTGAAATTAGGGTAGGCTGTCGGATAATTTCTGTTACACTTTTTACTTTAACTCTTAAAAATCTCAGAAGCTTTGGAAAGACCTCATATTCACTATGGGCAGGGTCAAAAGGCCTATACAAGGGTACCGTCGCATCCGCGATCTATGCGCAAAACACCCACTTTGTGGCTGAAAATCCGTTTCTTCCCAATTTTGTAAATGAGCTGGCGTTCTCTCAGGTGATGGCCGGTAGACCGAACAATGTGGTAATCAGGTAGGGCATAGTCTGTAGCGTTTAGCTAATATGTGGGGATGACGCAGACATGTGTGCACACGTTTTTCTGAGCGGTTCAAATCTCAGTGTGCGCCATCTTTGCAATCATCAGAATTTTTACGAAGGAAACGTCTTCAAAAAATTTCAAAAAATCATTTTTACGTTTTCTGTGTTCATTTCTATACGATGCACATTGAAAGAAGAATTTAGGAAAGTTTTTGAATTTTGAATTCAAAACGCTAAAGGCACCGGAATGCCTCCATGTAAGAGACAATGCCAAAATACGTTCTTCAAAAATTCTGGAAGAGAGGAAGCGCAAGTAGGTGCAGAGAAAAAGATCAGACAAAAACTGAAAAATTTGACTGCTTTTACAAAATTGCCGTAAACTTGTTGGTCATTAGTGCACTTGCGGCATCAACCATGCTGGTAGGTAGATCCTGCTATGTCCTAAGCGTATTGCAAAAATTTTTTTTCAAAATTTTTAGGAGTTTTTAGAAAGCTGCTGGGATTTCCTAGAAATTTTAGAAAAAAGTGTAACAGAAATTATCCGATAACCTAATATATTTTAGGTTGTGTAATAAGTTCTGTCCAATTTTTTCCTTCGATTTTTTCTCAATATTTTGCGCGATATACTGTAAACTGTTTATATGCATTTGAAAGCTTTAAGTCTTCTCTACTAAAACTTTCGTTTCGGTTTTTTACATCAGATGACTTGAAAGAGTTTTACAGCGTCAAATTTGAAAAATCAAACAGGGAGAAATTCCATTTTTGACAGCTACGTTACGTCGCCTTCCTAATTAGTCACAATGCCTACGAATAAGCTCGAAGAATTTGCTACATGTAAGCAAAGTATGCTCTAGCTTCTATTGCGCTTCAGGAGTGCTGAAACTTTTCGAAAACCATTTCTGTAGACTTTAGAAATTTCTTCTTTCTAACGCCTTTTCAACGTTGGTGTTGGGCATCATCTGAAGGCATCAAATTAATCGAAGTCATAGGTTAAATACTCAAAATTCGAACCACACAGCGTGGGTACGCGAGACGGCGAACATCGCCGTGACAAAGTCTTGCCTTGCCGACTTCTAAAAAAATGTCATTATATAGCCGGTGGAAGGAAGGGAACATGCGCAAACAGTGGTAGAACAAGTGTAAAAGTCTAATAGATTGTTTTGGTTGTTGTCAAGCTTGTTTAATAAGTTTTACCAATTGTTATGTTAGTGTCTGACCATTTGTTTTTCTCGTATGATCTGCCCTCGCTGAGGCGCCTGCGACCTCAATGCGCGGGAAATGAGCGCTATAAAAGGCGCTCGCTGTTAGCCATTGTGAGTTCGACTGTTCACTCATCGCCTCTCTTATTTTACTGTTCTCTATTATTTTCTAATAAATATTCTCTGTTCCTCGTGTGCCTGCCTCAGGACGAAGAGTCGACGTGTCCGACGTGGAGGACACAACAGTGGCGATCAGGAGCGGCGGCTACTAGTCGAAGAAGTAGCCGAACCAACGAAGCCCGAGGAAATCAAAGCGAAGAGGAGACTGCAGAGAGCAGTCAAAACGAATTCATAGATCAGCATGGCGAAGATGGGCTCAGAGGAATTGCTGATCTTGCTCCAGGAGATGAGAGAGGAACGAAGAGAAATGATGGAGCTTCTGAAGCACATCACAGGCACTGGACGAAGCAGTACATCAGTCGAAATCTCGAACGTGATGTCCGCCCTCAGCAGTAGGATCGAAAAGTTCTACTTCGATCCCGAGGCGGATATGTGCTTCAGCAAATGGTATGGGCGCTACAAGGAGGTCTTTGTCGAAGACGCGAAACAGCTCACGGAGAGTGCGAGGGTGAGGCTACTTTGCGAGAAACTGGACAAG